AGGCATGCGACAAAAAAACAAAAAAAAACACTCCCTATAGGTCGTTGCTTTCGCGAATTTAGTTCTTAAATATGGGTCAGATTTACAACACTGTTATGCCGACTGGACAGGTAACTGGCCTTGCATCGGAAAGATTCTGAGCTCGAATCCCGAGTAAGGCATGAAAATTCCTTCATTCTCTGTATTATTTGTCCTTACTGTGGGCGCAACGTTAGCCCACCTAATCTGCCCTGTAAAATGTCTGAATTGACAAAATGTTAACAATGGAAGTATAGAAAAAAATTACATCATGCATCGATTGATAAATGTAAGCAACTTAATAACTTGAATAATTTAAATCTTGCTACAACTTATAGACAAGTTTACTCAATAAATAATTATGAAGAGCTTATTACCACTTTCATTTATTTTTTTTAATTTTTGGTTACATTTACTTGACTGTATGCAATTTTTAGCTGGCACAATAAATTACTTAAAGGCAGCACGAATTCTGAATGAAGCTTTACGTAAATCTGTTACTACTAATGTCAAAAATGTCGACATTCCGATTTTTAAGTCAAATATTCATTTGTGTTTGTAAAGCTCAATAATTGTCAAAATTTTATGAAATTTGATTTCAGGGTTAATTTTTGCTCTTTAAATCAAATACAATAGGAAAAAAAATTATGTTTCTTCAGAAAAATCACGTTTTTGCATCAAAATTAGCTTAAACATATTCCGCCATGGAAAAAAAATGAAATAGATGGTTCTTCAATATAGGCAAAAAGATGGGATATAGAAAACGATTTTGTATTGGTACTAATTCGTCATCTGATCACAGAAATGTAAAAAAAAATCCGCCAAATAATTCGATTGAGCGAAAAAAAAGCCGTAATCATGCTAAATGAGACAAAAATGTCCAAAAGCATGAAATAATAAAAGGTTTAGGATACAGGTATAGAAATGGGCATTTAATACAAGAAAAAAAACATTTGTAAATCTGCCATGTCGATGTCGTCTTGAGTCCAAGATCACGTTCTTTCATGTATTATTTGCGAAGAATCGGAAAAAATACTATTTCGTTTTTATATAGCTAAGAGAACTCATAAAAAAAGTAAAAAATACGGAGAAAACGTCGAAAGATTAAAGAAAAGCGAATAAGAATATAAATATATATGCATAGTTGCAAGAATAAGTGACTATGTAAATATTTTCTATATTTTTTTCACGCTTTTCCAGAAGAAGCGTTCTGTTTCGTGATTAAGAGCTTTAATGACTGTAGAATTATCAAGTTTTTATGAGTTCAGGTGATAGGTAAAAACACTTTACTTCCTTCTAGTTTCACTTTTAAAAGAAAGGAAAAGCTTTTTTTTTACTAAAGCTAGTTTTGAAGAAATATATCACATTAATATGCTTTTTATTAGAGCATGCCTGATACTTGTGATTGCGTTTCCATTATCTCGATGTAAGTAAAAATTTTGAAAATTATTGAACTTGATGATGTGGTAATTTACCGCTTAAGCGGACGTCATACCTCAGGAGAAATTTTTTGTCGCAAATTCTCTTTCACATCCATAACAGATTTAAATTTTAAAGTATAGAAAAAGTGAACTCAGACAAACTTAAAGTAGGCCATGAAGTTTCAAATACTAAACTGAAGTTCTTTAACCGTCAAAACGAAAATAAATTAAGAGAAGATAACGTAGGATTACGGAGAAGTTCTCCTCCAATAATTTGTTGATAGTTTAAAGCTTTTTTTTTCAGCAATTCAAACTTCATGTCCTACTCTAGGCTTGCCTGAACTCACTTTTCCTTTCTCTTAAATTTTAAATTAGTTATGGGAGTAAAAACAAATTTGCAATGAACCGTTTTCCCCCGTAGTATGGCGTCCTCTCAAGTATAAGTAGGATTCATATTATTTTATGTACAAAATATATTGTACAATTTTTAATGCTTTTGTTGTAAAGCGTTATGTTTCTGTTCATTGAAAATTAACACTTTAAACCATTGTTTCTACCTGTGGTTCATGAACCCCTAAGGGGTCCATGAGTTATATTTTGGGGGTCCGCTGACTACTCCTAATTTTTAAAACGTTTGGAAGCCTACCTATTGCTTGTAAAGCGAGCTATGGCAGCTATAATTCCGTTTGCTACAGTGTATCTTTGCGAAACAGGATTTTCCACACTTGTGACAATAAGAACATAACATCGAAATCGATTGAATATTGATCATGATATGCACGTTGCTTTGTCGAAAACCATCCCCCAATTCAATTTATTAGTTATGGAAAAGCAGTAGTAACCTTCACATTAAAAATTTTAATTTTGAAATACTCTTAAAATAATAAAATTGAAAGTTTTCTAATAATTGATGTTTTTTGCAATTATTTTTTTCACGGGGTTTTTAAAAGGGGTTCATTATATCAAAAAGGTTAAGAAACACTGCTTTAAAGAGAGGAAAAGAACAATATTTCTTTTGGGAAAAAATTTTCTTAAATGATGAGTTTCTAGAATCGCTTTCTATTTTTCGCATTTAAACTGTAACTGTTGAATAAATACGACATACCTAGACACTTAATAATTGCAGATTATTCTACAACAATGGAGTTTTGCAAAATTGTTCATCAAAATTTAAAAACTTATCTTTAATATATAATGGAAGAAAATGAGAAACATGACTTCCAAGGTTTGATGTATAGTTTTTAAATCTGCCAAGTAAGCCAATTTAGATAAATTACGGAAATAGACAATGTACCGTCTAAGAATCTTTGCATTACAAACATGCAGAACCTTTGTAAAAATGCAAAAGAATTACAAATAGCAAGTACTACGAGTAGCAAGTTAACATTTAAATGAGATAAAAAAAATGAAAGATTTTTAAACATTCGTGTATATTAGGAGGATGAAGTTGAAATACTTGCAAAAAGAATATACATTCTGTCCCACTAGGAAAAAAAATTTGTTTTTAATAATCATAATTCTTAATTTGAACTCGTCGACTTCTATAATGTTAAATAATTAGAGAGTATTAAGACGCTTTTGTTCTTTTTCAACGAAAATATTAATTTGCGGTTAATGTGCCCAGCTTTCCTGTTTCATTATGTACAACGATTCTATAAAGATACGTTACGAGCGGCTTTTATGAAATACCCAATATACTAATTTTAGCTTTAAGATAGGTTTGTTAGTTTTTATTAAAAAGAGAAAAACATTACCTTGTCGTCAATTTGCTCCTTTAAAAGTTTCAGATAGACGTTTGTGTTTAATAAACATAAGCTGAATCGTGGTGGCTCAGAGGATTAACTCTCGAATCCCAATGAGGTGAACCGGGACTCAATCCCGGCGAAGGCTGGTTGATTTGAATTCCGCACCCGACTCACACCGACCACAGTGCTGACGTAAAATATCCTCAGTGGTAGACGGCCAATGGGTTAAAGTCCCCTTGCCGTAAGGCTTACCGTGGGAGGTTTTCGCGGTTTTCCTCTCCATGTAAAAAAAATGCGGGTTAGTTTGATCGAAAAGTCTCCACAGAGGCAAATTTCACCTAATACTTGATCCAGGAGTTCCCTTGTCTTCTGGATTGGGTTCAACATCATAAGGATACGAAGTTGGACCTTGATAGTCGCTAACTGGAAATTCGGTCGGTTGTTCAACGACGGTTATAAAATAAAATAAACATAAACTTAAGAAAATAAAAATAAAAATCATACAGTACCTATTGTAAAACACAAAATGAATAAGGACAAAATTTGCATTCCAACTCTTCCTTTTTGCAATTTATTTAGAAGCAGACATTTTCAAAATAGGCATTAGAATGTTCAGATTTTATTTGATAATTTGCTTTCCTTGCAACTTTTGTCACTTTTTCAGGTTTAATAATTCAATAGGTGTTATTTCTTTAAAAAATGCTTAGATATATATACCATTTTAAATTAAAAATTCTTGAAATTAAAGTATGAAACTTTCAGAAATTTGAAGAAACGGTAATAAATTATAAATGAAAACATGTATTTTTGAACACCTTATGCCAGAAAGTACTGCAGTACGCTTGCAATTTGTATCGTTTACTTTGACTATTATTTGCAATAATGGGATACCTGCAAGTGACTTAGTATGGTTATTTCGATCCTGATTGGTTCTTGAAACACGACATTTGTATATGTTTTTTCCATTCTATTTCGAGTATGCCAAGCCCGTTCCCTCAAGTGACACATTCTATATTCTTAGAAAAAGATTCCAATTCTTTCACCATATATTTCGCACTAAACTTAAAGCCAGGCACGAAGCCGTGTTGAACATAAACAGACTATTTATAAATCGAAGTTGCCAGGTGCACGAAACAAAAACATATCATGGTCATAATAAAATACGCAAACAAATAAGAAATTTAAATTAAGTAAAAGACATAGACGAGAAAGAATTACATTTCAACAAATTCGATGTGCGATGAGGGACTGGATTTAATTAACTTCACTTTAGTTAGCATTTCAACTTATGTGGAGAAACTAAGCTCAACTTTAACACGTCATTTTTCTTATAAGCGATGTAAGATTTCAATTTTCGTTAACTCTCTATTTTAATAAACATTTCTTAAGAAAATACATAAAAGAAAATAATTTGTAACATTGAGAGATCCTATGAGAGTTAGGCACGCCTCTCTTGGCGATATGATGTAGAGTTGGATCATCCGAGAAGTGTATCTACCACTACAAAATTACAACTACAATTCACTAGTATATAAGACATGTTAACTCGACTCAATGTCGGGGTACCTTTTCATAGATGAAGGTTGACATGATCTATAAATACTCTCCACACATGTAGATCTACTTCTGAACGTTTTCTCGCTCGAAATCAATTTTTATCTTATTTGGTGTTTTGTCTGAATGTTATCCTGGAATACTTATTTGCCACACATTACGACGATCAACGGATCATAGGTTAGAGCCCCCTTGCCGTCAGGCTGACCATGGGAGGTTCTCGTGGTCTTCCTCTCCATGTAACGCTAATGCGGGTTAGTTCCATCAGAAAAGTCCTCCACGAAGGCAAATTTCTCCCAATACTCGGTCCAGGAGTTCCCTTGTATTCTGGATTGGGTTTAAAATTACAAGGCTACGGAGTTGAACATTAGTAGTCGTAAACCCATAAAATTGGGTAGGCTGTTCAACAGCGGTTATAAGTAGGAAAAAAAACTAAAAACGATCTGCTGGCAGTGACGTCATAGTTCACATATGTGGGTATCCGCGGTCTTCTTGAAGTGCAAATACTCAATTGCATAAAATTTCGTAAACTCAGCTTCCATTTTTCGGAAATATGGACATTTTTATAAAAAATATTGTCTCATGTTTTATATTGTCTCATGTTTTTTGCAATAACTTTAAAAATAATCAATAAAATTAAATAAGTTTTCGAAGCAGTTTTTTATTAATTACAAATTTATTATTTAAAAATTTGGAAAAAAAATTATAAAAATTGAGCAACATATGAGCATTTAAAGTAGTTCTTTCAAAATTGTGCATACGCGATTTTTTTTTTCTTTATAATTTTGTAGTGAATTGTATTTGTTAACAAATGAAAAAAGTCGATATGAATATCTTGAAAAATTAAAAAGTTTCTAGTAACTTCTTGCGCAGTTTTTGTAATTCTTGATAGTTCTAAATTATAAGGGATTTTCCACAAATTTAAATTTTATCATGAGCCAGAATTTAATAACAGATGATAGTACCTTACAATAATCGTCAGTACACCAAATTGTGATGGTACAAGGAAAAAAACAAAGCATGTGAAAAAGAAAACCTATTTTAATGGGATATGATTCATCATGCTGGTGTAATTTTTAATAAATCTTATCTAATAGAANATTGATCATCATGGAGAATATTTTGAAAAACAATAAAACCAATTTCGATCCTGCATATTTGTTTTTTTATTATTAGGCCAGAAAAATAAATAGCAACTCTCGTATGAAAGAATTACTTTAAATGCTCAAACCTTTATAGTAAATTTTAACGATTTTGTTTTAAGTTTTAAAATTATGATTTTGTTATTAACTAAACATTGCGACAAAATTTTGCCTTTTTATTAAATATTTTTAAAATTATTGCAAAATAACGTAAGACAAAAAAAAATTCATAAAAATGTTCATATCAAAAATGTTCAAAAATTGAAGAAATTTTAAGCAATTATTACAAATGACAACCAAAGTAATCGATACAAGTTTGTCATCATATTTTCTGGATTTAGGTGCTGCTTGTTTCGTTACTCATTTTTTGTCGGTTACTCTAATCTAAGAACTTTAAAATTTATTGAATATCATCTAAACACCTCTAAAATTATGAAATAATCCTCTAAGTATTTCTATAGAAATTTAATGAAATGTAAAAAAAACTGAAAGTGTCTCTTCTATTATTTGATTAAAACCTTTATTCGAAAAATTACAAATGACAGATGACATGTTTTAGGCACTCAAAAAACAGGATCCCGTTTTCAAAACTTACCAGACGTGGACGTGAAGGGTAAGGAATAAAAAAAGTGATTATTCTTTGTCGTAAACATTTTCCCGCCTCTTTGCGTGCTCATGTTAATTTTAATCACTTAAATTTTCAAAGACTTTCTTCATTTCATACTTTTGTTTTCCTCGCATTTAGCCTTGTATTATGACTCTTCTTTCTTAAATTCCGAACTTAACTTCCACCATTCCGTGGATTTAATCCTTCTGCAGTGGATTCCGCTCTTGCTAAACTCACGAGACCTGAAACTCTAATTACTTAAGTAAGAAACTCTAACTACTTAAGTAATAGTAATCATCAATTGCTGCACATTGTTGAAATCCTGGGAACAAATTCAATTTCGACAGTACCAAAATTATTTCTTCTCCAGTCGTGTTAGCTTTTCTTGATGTCCTGGAATCTTATTTGTTCATATGAATGCTGATTCCCTTGTTAACGATATTTGTTCCACACCATCTTTCCATAGCGCGTGGCAATGCAATTTACACTGATTTGCCCCTCTCGGTCACTGTGGTTTTTCTTGTTTTATTTTTCACTTTTTTTTTCTCTCTCGGGTTTTCTCACCTTTATTTTTCCTTTATTTGTTGGCAACATTACGTTTATATTTCAAATCTCTTTTGCTTCTTCTCATTCACATCTTGCAAATCTTGAAAATGGATGTCTATTTTTTGAACGCTTAAAGCATGTCGACTGTTGTTTTCAATTTGTAATTTTTTGAAGCGAATGAAGTTTTTAATGAAGTAATATCTTACCGCTTCAATTTCTTGGAACTATTTATTTAATGTCTCTTATATTATTGTAGGTAGTGTATATTAAGTGTACACTTCTTGTTTTAAAATGCTTTTATTTGATAATGATGCATATTAACTTTCTCTGTAGCTTTTGATCTTTTTGTGAGTTTTCTAATGCAAAAAGAGCCATGCTTTGAAACCATAGATTTCGAGCATTGCAATTCATCGATACCAGAGACTTTCACCCCAGTATATAAAGGAACAGATACGAATGTGCCAAACTCAGAATTCTGGCTTTTTACTACCAAAAACAAAGAAAGAGCTGAACCTTTACACAAATGCGGAGGAAAACTGCCAGAAAACAGCGCCTTCGATCCAGAACAGGAGACCATAATCATAGCTGGCGGAGTAGCAGAGAGTATTTGTCGCGTAGCTTGGCAAAGGGTAGGTACAATTTCTCTATATTGAGCCCTGGTGGCTCGGGGAATACAGTGCACGTGTCTTTTGGATTGGGTTCAAAATTACAGGATCCCGGAGTTGAACATTAATAGTCGTAAACATTAAGTCGTCGGAGTTGAACATTAATAGTGTTTCCTCTTATTAACTTTGCACCCCTACTGAAGATGCGACATCAATATCTCTTCTGATTGTTACTGATTATTTTCTTTGTAATGTTTGTTTGCATTTAGTTTATTTTTAAGTAGCACTCTTTTCTGGATTTCATATTTAATACTCTATCTATTTGTTAAAACTCCAATTTAAAATTTTTGAATATGTTTGCTCATGTAATTGAACTGTTACGCTCACTTCGAACTTTCGGAGTGCCCCAGATGCCTCCTTACGGGGGCGGGACGGCTTTTATGCTTGTTATTAATAGTCGTAAACGCAAAAATTGGGTCGGCAGTTCAACGACGGTTATGGTTGGTTCTAATGCCACTTGCCACACAGGCAAGCCTGCTTGGTGAAACCGAGCAAATTTAAGTCAAAGAGTACGATTCTTGTTTTTCAGTGGTGCCATCTATGGCCAAGAATTCGACTTCTGCCACATCATACATCACACCTGTTTATAAGGCGGACCCATTCATACATCCAATCATTCATCCACAGAACGTAATTTTGACCTGAATCAGAGAACGAACGATCTCCAATCCAGTACCCCCAGAGGTATTGATTTGTTGTGGGAACATGGAGGACTTTGCGACTCGACAGAATTTCAACGTGCATCAGTCACCAACTACACGGGGAGTCTTCGGACGGCAACGTTTTAAAACTAATACATGATAACAAAAAATAGACCAAAACTGAAATGTCATTTAAAAAATCTGGAGCTTGGAGCAAGAAACCGATTGCAGATTTAAAAATCAGCGATACAAAAGTATCTAAGATCTGTTTTTAAAAAAAACTCATGCAACAGAAGAAAAAACCAGTGTTATTTATTCTTTATGGGTGAAAAATTCATCTCTCGCTCAATTTTTATTTTATAAGCTCACACTTGTTTTGATGTCAAAAATGACAAAAATGTATAAATAAGAAATTAGAAGTTAGATGTTGCCAGATATAAATCTTAATATTTATTTTAAAATTTTTGAAATATAATGACTGAAAAGAGATAAAAATAGTTTCCAATGACGACTAACGATATAAGGTTATCGTTAACAAGTAAATTACTTCTCATTTAATTCAGCTACCCTTTCATTTCGTTGCGACTAATAGGTTAATAAAATGTGCTTTTACATAAAGTTGTAATAATTACAAATCTTCTTAACAAGATGAGCTTTTCCTTTATCAACATTCAAAAAAAAAGTTTAGGTAATTTTTTTTATTATAAATGTAACTCAGCAACTAATTTTAAGAATTCTTTTTAACCAATCTCTATGGCTGGGCATATTTACGTTTGATCAAAGGAAAAAAGTTTTGCCTTCTAGTCTAACTTTGAAGCCATCTCTGATTATTGCATTCCATAGACTATCTCATTACAGTTTAAGACAAAGTGACACAAATAGTACTCACAATAGTGCTAATTAGGACTGGGCTATAAATCGATGTATCGAGACATATCGATTTAACGCATATATCGGCAAGACGATACAGCGACTTTCATTCAAGGCGATGCATCAGAAATCTGATTTAAGCCGTCGAGTAAAGACAACGAGAGCAAAACGATATAGCAATATAAGACACGCAAGGATATAAGAACGATATAGCGATATAAGACTCTTCTCTTACGTTCCGATGTCGACTCGCGCTGTGGAAAACGATGTTCGTTTCGTTATGTTGAAATGGCCTTGATTGGTGAGCTGTAGAATCAGAATCAGAGTTTTGAGAACACATATCGTTATATCGCATGTTCCTTTTCGCACCTC